ATAAATTCTAAACCTTTCAAAACCCTCAACTTGGATGCATTTCAAAAAATTAGCATTTGAAATTGCAACTTTTTGTCCAGAGAAAACGTGTTTCACTGAGGGGCATATGTAGCAGCATTATTTCCTGGCAGCCAGGCTTGTAATGACATCACAGGATTGTTCCAGTCGGGAAACGTCCAGTACTGGTAAGGTGTGAGGTCATCAGCTGCTCAGCTGCTAAAATATGACCAGAGAATGCCCTTCACATCTGGGATGGAAGAACTTGACTTAAAAGGGGAGAACAAGTCAGATCAATCAAATCAGCCCACGGCCGGCTTTTCAGTGCATGTGCAACAGGATGTTAATAGATGCTATATTTTAAAAAGGGTCTTACGGTCAGTAAGTGTAGAAAAGCCTGGAAAAGGACAAAATTAAACAGATGTTTTACTACAGAACTTCTCAGAGCTTGTATCATACTGATGGACATTATAAGTCTCTAAGAAAGTTTTACAACATGCAGAATTTTCCAAATTTATTTCAAAATACAACTTACTTTTGGCAGAAAATTAGTCTGGACTAGGATTCCAAGGAATATTCTTTGGGAAACACCAGCTTATCTTCTTAATGTACAGGCCAGACCTAAACATTGCTCTGTTTTTATTAAGATCCATAAAAGACATCTGTGAGGATTATAATTCCACAAAATACTCATTCAACGTCCAGGCTGGTTCCTGCCCTCAAGAAGCGAAGGGTCTACTGGAAAGGCAGTCCTGAGACGCTACATCCTATTGCATGTGTCTGGACTAGGATTCCAAGGAATATTCTTTGGGAAACACCAGCTTATCTTCTTAATGTACAGACCAGACCTAAACATTGCTCTGTTTTTATTAAGATCCATAAAAGACATCTGTGAGGACTATAATTCCACAAAATATTCATTCAACGTCCAGGCTGGTTCCTGCCCTCGAGAAGCGAAGGGTCTACTGGAAAGGCAGTCCTGAGACGCTACATCCTATTGCATGTGATGCAATAAAATAGAACATATGAATGCTCAAAATCGAGCCACACGATCTGCCTGTGTGTACGAGGAAATCCTCCGCAGAGAAGCCTACCGCTGACCTGGATCTGGAATGACGAGTTAGGAGCAATCTGAATATTACAGAACATTCCTATAAAAATCAAACAAGACCTGGATGTCTATGGGTACCAGTTTCATGGCCAAAATTCAATAATCCTGCCTTAATTCTTGATTGTTATTTTTGCCATTGTCTACGGCTACCAGGCTTCCTGTACTCTGTACAGAATCTAAAAGAACTCTACCAAGCAGATAAGTTGGCCTCCTTATATTTAACCACCAACATTAAATGATAATCTAGCATAGAGCAGAGGGAATAACCTGCAATATATTTTTCAAGCCAGAAGACACAGAACTAAATATGCAGTATGTCAGTCCAAAAAGAGAAAAAACCTTCTCAGAAAAGCCCCAAAATGTCACTGTCAGCACAGGGCTACTGGAGCATCATTTGCTAATGTTACTTAAGAGGAGCATCCAAACACCCTGGTGGCATTTCCAGACAATCAGAAGGCACAAAGGAATCAATTTAGACACATGGGTGTTTTCCAGGTGGCTGAAAATGCAAAGAATTCAGTGCTTCTGCAATTTTCCCTATTAATCAGGTCAGGCATTTGACGCTTGAAGTGGCAAAAGATTGTTTTAATGGCAACATCCCCTCTCCTACCTTGCCAATTACCCTGGCCATGGCATTCCTCTGTCCACACAGGCCACAGCTGCTTAATCTCAGCCGCCCCAGGCTGCACCTGTGAATCAGTCCAGCCTAATCACACCAACAGATGGCAGAGGCCAAGTAGCCAGCTAAGAACTGCTATCACTTTAAATAGCATCTAATGTTTCACAGGCACCAAGAGAGGCACCTCCCGACAGCAATATCTCCCTGGTACAGCTAACACCAGCCCTTAATCACTGCAGAGCACCCATTTCAGGGCAGAGTTGGTGTCATTCGAGAGCTAATTACCAAAAAACCCTGTTTGCAAGGTGAAAGCATGGCAAGGGCGCTGTTGGCTGGCATTCATTAAACGGAGCACTCCACCTCCTGGCCCTTCTGCACAGGCACTGGGCAATCGGGACTAGTGTTCACAATGAAAACCTGGAGGCCCACGCAGGTAATCCTTCCGAATCATCAGAGAGATTCCACTCTCTCAGCCTGGTTGTTACATAACCTGCACCTTGCTGTTGCATTTTATTATATCATGTGGATTCATGGTAATGTGCTATCAGGCAGGGTACTTGACCACCAGGACAACACAGTTCCCAGGCATGCCAACAAAACCAAGCTGACAGAATCTGCTGTCCCAATCAATAGCAATGGCACCCACATGCAGGTGTCCCTTCAGAGCTATAAACAACTGTCCGCGCATCCTCACTCCACCCCCATCACGACCCTGGGATGCCCACATGCAACAGGCCTGTGGCTGAATTGTAGCTCTGTCTTTTGCTCATAGTCACAATTTCCCAATCAATAAAACAAGAATAACTACTTTCTCCACCTTATCAGAGTACTGGTGGCATTGACAGGTCCTGCCCAGAGATGGCCCTCAACTCCTTTGCCTCCAGCTTCATGCCAGAGCCAAAGAACTAAGAAGTGAGCAAAGCACTCTGCAGTATCAGTGTTTTATTACTAAGTAATAATAGAAATAACCTCTGTAGAAGTCTGGTACGAATCGTAAGAGAAGATAATTTCACTTGCCTTATTACCCACTGTTTCAAGAACAAGACCATTCATGGTAAACTCCAGTTTAAGGCAGATCTCCACAGGTGAATCCCTAAGCCAGCGGTTACCACACTTCAGTGTGCATCAGAATCACTCCCAGAGTTTCTAATTCAGTACATAAACCAAAACATTTCTCTTTTTGCCCAAGCTGCTAGGAGATCTAAATGTAAAACACAAAACTATAAAGCTCCTAGGAAATAACATAGGAGAAAATCTACTTGCAACATTGGGTATCATGATGAGTTTTTAGATAAGACACCAAAGGCATGTCCCATGAAAGAAAGAGTTAATAAGCTGGACTTCCAGAAAATTCAACATTTCTGCTCTGCAAGAGACACTGTCAAGAGAATAAAAAAGACAAGCCACAGACTGGGAGAAAGTATTTGCAAAAGACATATGCGATAAAGGACTGTTACTCAAAATATACAAAGAACTCTTATAACTTAATAAGAAAACAAATAAACCAATTAAAAAATGGGCCATAGGCCTTAACAGACACCTCACCAAGGAAGACACCAAGATGGCAATTAAGCATATGAAACGATGCTCCATATCATATGTCATGAGAGAAAAGCAAATTGGAACAACAAACCATCACTGCCCAGAACACGGACAACACCAAATACTGGTGAGGACGTGCAGCAACTGGAAGTCTCACGCATTGCTAGTAGGAATGCAAAACGGTACAGCCACTTTGGAAGGCAGTTAGGCGGTTTCCTACAAATCTGAACATACCTTTAACCATCTGATCCAGCAATCGCAATACTTGGTATTTACCCAAAGAATCTGAAAATGTATGTCCACACAAAAACCTGCACACAGATGTTTCTAGCAGCTTTATTCATAATTGCCAAAACCTGGAAGCAACTAAGATATCCTTCAGTAGGTGGACGGATAAATAAAATTGTGGGACATCCACACAGTGGAGTAGCATTCAGAGCTAAAAGGAAGTGATCTACCAAGCTGTGAAAACACATGGAGGAAACTTAAACGCATATTACTCAGTGAGTTACTAAAATGACCAAAATCTTTTAGAAAAATACAGTATATCTTTTGTAGAATACACCACACAGCAAAGAACCCCAATGACCAAAGTACAACCACTTCGGGAACATTCCAGCCATGTCACTGGAGAATGCACCTAAAGCTATATTTTATTTTCTTTACTGAACATTCACAAGTCCTGACTCTTCTGAGCACTGTACTAACATTAACTCATTTAATCCTCATAACAACCCGATAGGATATTATTATTATTCCCATTTTATAGCTGAAGACACTGAGGCACAGAAGTTGAATGAGAACTTCAGAAGGGGTACAGGAGGATTCAGACCCAGGCTGCCCAGCTCCAATGGCAATGCCATGTTCTTACTCCCCAAGTAAATGGCCTCTTGCTGTTACTGCTCTGTGTTAACTGCCTTAAAATAAGCAACCGACACTGAGGCACAGAAGTTGAATGAGAACTTCAGAAGGGGTACAGGAGGATTCAGACCCAGGTTGCCCAGCTCCAATGGCAATGCCATGTTCTTACTCCCCAAGTAAATAGCCTCTTGCTGTTACTGCTCTGTGTTAACTGCCTTAAAATAAGCAACCGACACTCGGCCCCCTTCTCAAGCGCTGTCTATAAAGTAAGGCGCACTTCCATGACTCTGGCTCAGTATGAGGCACATGTGTTACAAGGCCAGGGTTTCTCAACCTTGGCACTACTGACACTTGGTACCAGATAATTCTTGGTTATGGGGGGCCAGGCTGTGAACTGTAAGATGTTTATTAGCAGCATCCCTGGTCTCTGCCCATTAGATGCCACCTCCCCCTGTTGTGACAACCAACACTGCCAAATGTCCCGTGGGAGCAGGGGGAGGCAATCACCCCCAGTCCAAAACCACTGGGTTAAGCCAAGCATAATCGATGGCTATAAAGAAAACCAAGGTGTCACACAGTTCTACTGCTCTTACGTCTCTGAATAGTGAGAGACCAAAGGGAAAAGGAAAATCAAGGAAGAAAAGTAGTGACTGCTTTGAAAGGAGAGCGGCTACTGACGGAGAAGAAAGGACAGACGGGACAGAAGGGTGTACAGTCACATCGGTTTATTCTCAGGTTTGAAAGTCAGGAAAGTTAACACAGCAGGGAAAGGCAAGGGCCGCGGGACACAGCACGGCGCTGAAGAGTTGACAGGCGACAGTCCCCTCCACACACTCCTCCAGGGACCTGCAGAGGTGGACAGTTACTTACTCTTGTTGTTACTGTTCTCGCTGACAAAATCTTCAGAGCCATCGGTGTCATCTTCGTCATCTCCGGACGAGATGGCATCTGCATGCAAAAGAACATATCCGTGGATGTGTTTTTGCAAAGCAAAAGTCTGCCGTCATCTACACCCTAGACCTTCTCTAGAGTGACCTCTGCAACCCAGGAACCCTCACAAAAACCTGAGACCGTGTTTAGGTTTTAGAGGCTTAAGTTTTCTTTTCATGATGACAGTTGATCTGTATTGTCTGTATCGTGATCCTCGATGTTTTCTGCTTTCACGTAATTTAAACATGCTATAAAATCAGATATACTGAACCTGGATTTTAAGCTTCAAACAGTATTCAAGTCCCTCACAAATTTCTGATTGTATAATATCTAAAGATTTTTTTTCCAACAAAATCTTTCGCCATTTTGAGTGCCCTTCTGGAAAGGAATTAGCCCCTAACAAAACTTAGCCCCTGTGTGGCCCTGTGATCATTAGCAAACATTCTGAAAGCAGAACTTTAAACTCAGCCATAGAGGGGGCCTGTTCAGTCCTCCTCACAGCAGGAGAGGAAAATCAAGGAGAGAAACTCAAATATTAATAAAGGAATCAGAAATCCTAAGCATCCAAAATTCAGTTCTACATTCTAAATGCCAAGGATGTCAGTAGAATAGAGAAAAAAAGATGTTTTTACTTATATAAAAGGGTGCTGCCTTAAAAAGAAAAATGCTACTTTGCACACGAGAATTCTGTCATTCTTAATGATCAGCCTCTCGGGTGCACCAGGTCCCACAGAAGAATTTCAAAAACAGATCAATAACAAACTATGAAGCGGTGTGCCTGGCATCCAGTTAGCAGATCTCACTATGACTTCACTTGGCTGGAAAATTTTAACCAGAAAACAGCTACAGAGAAGAGGGAGCATAGTGCTCGCAGGCCAACTCACCTGTGACATTCACCATGAAGTACCAAGTTTCACTGTCTACAGTCCTAGCAGCAGTACAAGCATAGAGGCCGGAGTCTCTAGGTGTGGCGCCTTTTATCTGCAAGTATTCCCCAATAAGCACTGTCCTATTGTTGGGCCCCAAGTGTACCCCATCCTTAGTCCAACTGATCACGGTGGCATCTTTCAACAGGCAACGCAACTCTAGCGGCTCCCCTGGCGCAGCCACGTAAACTTCTGGTTGAGAGATTTGGTATTTGGTTGGTGGCTCTGCAGAAAGGTGGGAGAGAGAAGACGGAGACAGATGGGAAGGAGGGAGAGGAGAGAATGTCCAACAAAGGTCAGTGGAGGCCCGTTTATTCCCAGGAGAAGCCGCTCTGGCTTTGCAAATGGCCCCAGCAAGCGTCCACCTCTCCCCGCACCCCAGGAAGCCACAAAGCAGCACTCACTGCAGAGTCGACTAAGCATTTGAAACAGCAGCCAGAGCAAGCACCCAGCAAAAGCTGTCCTGCCTCAGTTTCCACATACTGTAGAGCTTCAAAAACACAGCAAGGAAGCTATTTCACAAGAAAAAGCTTGAGTCAATTGCCAGTCCTAAGCGTGACTGCACTGTAACACCTGGGAATTTCTGTTGTGGCACTTCTTATCTGCAAGAACACTGAGTTCTACAAATCTGTTCATTTAACATGACTGTTTCTCTCTCTCTCTCTCCCTCCTTGCCAGTCCTAAGCGTGACTGCACTGTAACACCTGGGAATTTCTGTTGTGGCACTTCTTATTTGCAAGAACACTGAGTTCTACAAATCTGTTCATTTAACATGACTGTTTCTCTCTCTCTCTCTCCCTCCCTCTCTCTCTTTCTCTCTCTCTCTCTTTCTCTCTCTCTCTCTCTCACACACACACACACACACACACACAAACACAAATTATCTATTAATTTATGCTAGACTTGGCTTGTTTTCCCAAAGCCAAGCTTCTAAAACTACAATGTCTCAAACTCAAGGAAAACTAATGGGTCCCTCTAGAAAATTTCTGCCCTCTGGAGTTTTCATGAGCTCTTGGGTTTGGATCAGTATTTTGCTGGTCTAGAGACTTAATTCTGTGCTAGGTGAGCTGGGACATGCTGTTTTTCTCAAGATGATCAAAGCCCGGAGGCCTTAGCCCCCAAAACAAAAACAGCAAAATGCCCCAACAGCTGAGAGGTAGCTCCACTGAGCTTCATTAATCCTGAACCGCTGCTGCCCCCGACTCACATACTAACTGGGTCCCACCCTGCCCCCAGCCCCACCGCACATACCCGGGCTTCTCAGCCTCCTTGGCCTTTCTCTTCTTTAGGAATATGTCTTCCTCCCTCTCTCCCTGTTTAACCCAATTCATCCTCCTGGCCCAAATCAAGCAGCGCCCTCCACGATGGAGAGCTGCCTGGCATCAGCCACCCTGGCCAGAAGCGAAGGGGGTCTCTCTCCCTCCGCCGTACCTCTGTCCACTTCCCCAGCTCCTGGGACATACCACATTTATGAACGTATCCTGCCTCCCCGAGCACACACCAGGATCCTAGAGGGAGGGCTCAGTCTTATAGCTCTTTGTACTCCCCCTCCCAGCACCCACCCCTGGCCAACCTTGGGGTCAGATTGAACATCGCATTGAACATCACGTTGAACATGATCACTGTCCCCAAATATGTGGGGCAGGATGAAAACCCAAGAGGATCCAGCTCACACAACCTCTCCAAAAGGAGGAAGGAAGAAACCAATGGCCTTTAAGAAGAGCCAGAGCTGCCGGCTGGGGCGCCACGAGGGACCATGAAGCAGGCTTTCATCTGGACAGTGGGAACTGCAAATGGTACCCAGAGTCCCAGGCCCGGAACACACAAAAGCTTCCCAGCGCTGGGACGGCTCCAAATCTGGGCAGCATCACAAGGTAATTGTTTTGCCCATATGGCACTCAAAAGGACAAATCTCCCATATGAGATTGAAATAAAGTCAACTCGTGATTCAGTCTGCTGTTAAAGGAGCAGCAAGGGCCACGTGCATCCGGTCAAAGAAATGCCCCTCACCACCACCACCGCCACTGGCTGACACAGGAGGCCCAGGGCTTCCCAAAGGGGGCACTAGACAAGTCACAAAGCCAGGGGGAGCCCAGATGTTACACAGGACATGAACACAAAGACAACCACACAAAAGGAAGAGAAGTCAAACTGAGCATGGACAGCCCCAAAACATGGGAAGAAAACCCCAACTGACAGGCAGGCTGTGTTTCAAAAGTTTGTTTTTCCGCACTCAACAATTACTGAACACCTACCATGGGCCGAGCTTTGTTCTAGGTGCTCAGGAAACAACAGGAGACGAGACAAAGTCCCTGCACTCATGCAGCTTCCATTATGGTGGGGGCAACGATACATGTAAAATCTACAAAAAATATGAAGGATGCAAGGTGGCCTGAAGTGTCAGGAGGGAGAGAGCAGGACAGCGGCACACACACATGGGGGAGATGGGGAGAGGGCTCCTTCCATAGGAGGAGCTGCAGGCTCTGGCCTGTGGGCTGAGCCAGCCGTGGCTTGTTTCTGTAAACGAAGTTCTCCTGGACACAGTCGTGCTCACTTGTTATCGTGTTGTCAGGGGCTGCTTTTGTGTTCCAAGGGCAGAGCTGAGTAGTTGGGACAGGACTCCATGGCCTGGCCTACAAAGCCTAATATATCTTCAGTCCTGCCTGTGTGCAAAGTTTTTCAACTCCTGTTGTACAGGACGATCAGAGAAGGTTTCTCCGAAGAGCAGTG